GAGGGTTTCCTGTTTCATTCATCACTGCCCCGGCGAGATTTCGAATAGTACCCTTATGTCCTTCCAAGGCCTCTAGCGAGATGTTAGGCGAGACGAGTGAACCGAACAGCGTTCATGCAGTAAACTCCAGTTGCATATAGAATGAAGTATTCTAGTCAGAGTCACAGCAGTGATGGCATGGAGAGTGAATTAGGACCAGACCCTGAAGAACTGCTTGTGATGATTCTTCTCCATGAAAATATTTTTTTGCAGTCTCAATTTATTCCTTTTTTTGTTAAAGTTTCAGTCACACTAATTCAGTAATTCTCATAAATGGCAATACAAGTATGGTTTTTCGACAAATTAAATCAGTTCATTTCATAGTTCTTTTGAGGTCTTTTTCACTATACTCTTTATCTTTTATATTAAAAAATGATTACAAATTTATTTTTAGTTTTTCTTTTTTTGTTTATTCATGTCCCTGTTCATATCGTTAAAAACCCCTTGTATTCACTAACGGGCGACATATACATAAGTGTAGTTAATTACGAGAAATACGATAGCTATATGATAGGAGGACGTCGGCAAAAAATCTCTTCACCCAAGACTTCCTTAATAATATTCTTGATGATCTGAAGTCGGTCAATGACCAGCATTTGGGACAGATTGGACAGGGAATAAGGCTCATGTTGACAGTCATCGATTTGTGAAGGTCGTTAGCACCTTCCCTATGGTGTAGGTGGTATATTGTAGGGATAAATGAAATGAGATTTTGAGTTATATCACAATAAGTTTTAATGAAAACTTCTTAAACTAATAATTCACAATTGCATTTCAATTTAATAAAATAAATTATCAAATATATTATCATTTATGCAATTATCATAAAATGGCACTGCGAGAGTCCGTATAATAGTAGGAATGTTGTTTCATCACATTGTTATCATATTCAATGTTTTGCCGTGACGTGCGTACAAAAATTTCCTTAAAATGAATAACAAAATATTGTTCCATAAATGATTTTCTTGCACTATGTGATTTGTGAGTACTGATCTCGGAGACTAGTACTGAATCGAAGAAGCTTAGGTTCTAAGGTTTTTTTTAATAAATTAATTAATGCTAAGTGGCAGGTGATTTAACGCTTTATTGCAGGATCTACTCGTGCGGTTTACAAGTATCGATTTATAGTTTCCGAACTGATATAGTTACATGAAGGGTACCTGTATTATTTACCAATTGGTACCTAATCATAATATCTTTTTAATATAAACCTACCTAGAGATAAATTAATACATTTTTGAGAATTAGTTCTCTAGTAGTAGTAGTTAACAGATATCTTACATAACTGTAACGAGATAACAGAGAAATTATTCTACAAAGAATCTATTTTTGGACCCTTTCTAATTTAAATATATTGGGGACAAACATGTGGCCTTATTAAAGTTTTGTTGTGTCAGCGGTTCCACGAAGTGATAACTGGTGGTACCTACATCATATGGTCAGACTTGTTGCCTGTAACGGATGGAAGACACTGCGTGTTGTTTGAGAGACGATGCTAAAATTAAACATTTTCATTTCATCAACTTTCTTTTGGCTTTAAAGCTTATTTATATAAGACGATTATTTGTCACCAAAGTTTAGATTTATCACTAATGTGTTATAATATAAAACCTATGAAATATATTAGTCATAAATTAATCAAAATGGTCTCTAAATATTAATCATCATATTAATGTAAATATGTATCTTAAATTATAGTTTGATCACTTTTTTCTATAACCTGAACAAACCTTATGTCTGGCTTCAAATGATAGATCTATCACTAATAAGTAAGTTCCATATTCTATATATCTAAGAAAAAGAACAAAATTTTTACACTTCATGCGCATTTGGTGCATTGGCAGAGTTAAGGCCTACGATATTCTCTACCAGTCAACCATTGGGTGATGCAGAAAAAACGGGAAATAGGTGCATTTTACATAAAATTTGGAATGGAATAGGCAAACTATATATTATATCAAATTCACTGTCCCTACTAAAAATCTAATTTTTATTTTTTTATTTATGGCATAGGAGGGCAATTGAGCAGTGGGTTTCATTCTATTTGATCTGTGTGATTGTGGATCACACAAACTACTGTCCCATGTGGAGGTCGAACCCACAACACTCAGCGCAGTAGGAAGCGGCGAGGGGACCGCTTAAACCACTACGCCTCGATCGGTATGGTTAAGGGCCTGTTTGGGGGTGACATAGAGGGCCTAAATAAACGTTATTATTACGCTTAGATACATGCTACGGTAGGTTAGTTTCCACACGAACGAAGTATTGCGACCAACAACGAAACGCATGCGAGTAAAAAATGTGAAAAAATATATTTTCCGATATTTATGCATGTATTGGAAAAAAGCTTTTTATGACCACCCATATTTCTTTGCGCCATTTTATGGCTCAGAGAAAGAGGATCAATAATTAAAAAGATGATTGTTTGGATTTTTTGATAGTTGATATTATTTTCCAGCGATAACAAATACATTTTAAGTAAACTTCTTTACGTTGTTTGGTGATTCAATTTTGGTGACACGTATTATTTCAAAACCCAATACAATTACTTGATAACTGATATTATTTCCAAGTAAATTTTAATTAATATTTAGGTTACCGTTTTGATATTATTTGGTTATTCTATTTTGGTGACGGAATAGTAGATACTATTTTACGAACAAACATTAATTATTAGACCATTGAAAATACATTCTATAGAGAGTTAAATAAACTTTGGCAACTAAAGTTTCTAATAAATATCCATCCATAAATATTAAATAGGACCGCAGAGCTATGTAAATAAATTTAGTTCTCTAATTTAAAATAAAATAAATTGTAAGGTGATACAATAAAAATGCTACGTTCCAATGATATAAACTATAACGAAATTAAAGGTACAATTAAAAAGGGCATGTGAACATTTCTTCGTGCTTATGACCACTTTGCCTCGATTTGGTGTGATAGTAATGTGTAGAAGTCACAATAATAGGCCTGTCTATAATATGGTTACAGAAAGTTTTTAGATAGAAAACGCTTCAGTAACCAAGCTGTTGCCTGCTTAACATTTAATAGCAAAACTATGAGAAACCACAAACCAAAATAAATAATAATTCTTCAGGCTCAGAGCGTAATCCTTAAACGTAAGAATTAAAAGGACAAAAAAAAAAGTGATTTACAAAGGGCCTGTCTGATGCAAAAACACTATGACCAACACTCTAAATCCCAATCGTACAGCCCGCAATGATTGTGAAGAAGTATTTTATGTAGTTGGCATGATATGTAGAAGATGCTTTTCTATTTACTTATTTCACTCTGTCCTATAGTAAATGTAGAGTAAGTAAATTAAAGTACTTGAGTAGTACTTCTCATTATAACTTGTCTCTAACAATAGAGATTCAGAATCAGTAACCATTTGAATTTTTAAGGAATAAGCTTACTAACTATTATATTGACATGATGATGTATTAAAAATAACCTAAGGTAAGTTTGTACTTGTTGACGTTATACACAAGTTATTTTTAAGGCACTTCGTGTTTAATAAGTATCCAAATTTATTAACAAATAACATTTGTATATATGTAAATATTACAAAAAACTTAAGTATCTGCGTTACAATGGCATTGGCTCATTAAGAAAATAAATAATCTGTATGTAAGTACATTAGTGATGTATAATTTAACTATAAATATTAATATTAAATATATCTAATACCTATAAGTTAAACAAGTTTATAAGTTAAGAAATTTAAACATGAGGACTGTTCTACATGTAAAGGTAGGATAAAAAGTAGCGATGAAAACCGTTAAACAATGATGTCGATGCTGTTGTGAAACTTGAAACCTTATATTCGATCAGAATTAAACCTCTGTAGCTATTTTATCAGATGAAGATCATTGAAACAATAGAGAATAGCTTGTATATTTTTAACATTGTCTTAATTATCACTAAATAATTAACATGTTGATGTTTAAACAATTTACACGAACGTTACGTCCAATTTCTGGATGACGTTTCCAAATTCAAATAGTTTTTCTTTTTTAAATTAACTAATGTGTCAACCCACAGTAGTGTAGTAGATATAGACTATGTGGAGTGGGGAGAGCAGTGGGACAATGTAGAGAAAAGGTTGGTATCGTGACACCCAGTCTTTTTATTGTTCACGATTTAAATGAATATACTTTTTATTATGATGGGTTTAATTGTAAATGTTAAATTCAATTATGTACTTATTAAAAGTCTTAGGTACAGTCACTCATTTTTTCTACATATGTTTTTGCATTCGTTGTATTAGGAGTTTAAGAAATACACACATTATTAGATATTAGTTTTAGAAACATCTGTAGTATATTGCGTTTCTCTTAAATTTAAACAACCTATACGCTATTGTGTTATAGGTACTTAGATATAAATCGAACTTTATAATATTTAAAAACAAATTTTCCCCTAGCCATAACTTTATTAAAAAAGAGGATAAATGATTTTGTTGATGAATTTTTAAATCAAACTCCATCTCATTAGCAAAAGGGGGGATTATACATTATTTTATTCAAACTTGTAGTTGTCTTTAAAAAAACAAGGAAACGACAACTTCAAAAAACCAACAAAATTGACGAGTTTTAAAATGTTTTATGTCTCTCAATAATTTTAACAAGAAAGTATTGGAACTTATTTAAACTACTCTAATATTAGAATCGACACCAGTACTTATATATTACCTTTGTAACATATTTAAATGGTAACTCCAAAAACAGGTACTGTACGCTTAAAAATGAATTCTTTGGTCTAAACAGCTTTTGCTGTACAAAACACAATATACAAATTAATAGGAAAACAGAAATAAATACTTTTATGCGGAATGTCGTCTCGCTGCGGACGGAGATTTAAGTACACTATATTATCAAAACAATTTAGCGAAATTCTTACACGTGTACACTTAAATTACATAAAAAAACGCTAATTTGTAACAAAAAGTAGCTGCATCACAAGTTCATCTTAACACTCGCCATTTGATCCTCATCCTTTAAATGCACTACTCTAACTGATGAATATAATTTCTCTTGTATCGCTGCAAATGACTGGCCCTTCGTCTCCGGAAGGTACATTAATATAAATACTACACCGGCCACTGATAATATACCGAAACCCCAGAAAACAACATGGTTCCCTAAACTATCAGCTACAACTTGATACAACTTTGTGACTGCAAATGTCATCAAAGCCACAAATATCTGTATCACACAGGTAGCCTTTGATTTAATGTTCGTGTGAAAGATTTCAGAAGTTATAGCAAAAGGCACTGTTGCTAAACCTATTGTATATGAAAAAATAAATATGGGAATAAAGACGTTAGGAATGAATGACAAACTTATAGCATATTCGCTGTACTGATATTTGAGAAAGAAATATGACCCTATTATGATATTAGATAAGCCGACTCCACAAGAGGATATGAGTAACAAGGGTTTTCTCCCTAATTTGTCGACCAGTTGCGAAGACATTGCCGAAGTTAGAAGCTGGACTGAGCCGAACAGTATACAAGACTCATTTGGACCCAAACGACCCTCTGCTGCTCCAAATATTTGTTGTGCATACATTATAACGGCAGTACTACCACAGAACTGCTGCGTGAAATATATACCCATCAAAATTATGAGACCCTTCCTATTGCCTTCTACAGTAATCAAATATTTCCAGTGGCTTGTTTCTTTCATGTTTTCCGTGACTAAATTAGTCATGCTCTCCAATTCTTCTCTGACGTAGTTTTTGCCCCGTAGTTTTCTTAACGAGACTTCCGCGTCTTCTCTTCGTTCAGACTTAATATAGTAGTAAGGAGATTCTGGCATAGTGCTGAATGTCACTACGAACAATATTGGTATTGCTATGTTGAAACTGGCTAGAGATAGCATGGAAACGAATGGACCGATGCAATACTGTGACAGTATGCCGAACTGAAAAAAAAAATTGACAGAAGTGTTAATAAATATTTAGGAGAATCTTTTGTTTAACATTTGACGGTACTATTATTTTATGTATGAACTCAATACGATACTTTTTCATTTCATTATCCTTATTGTTGATTTTGGAAGACGCAGTCACAATGTTCATTCCAATTAATTCTATCCAACCAGCGCGAACCATCGGCTTTGAATACAAATCATTTTAGTTCTTCAGATTATAATTCAAGGTAAATTCGACTTGTTTGTCGAAGTAATTTAGAGCAAGATTATTCTATTGATAGAAGATAATATTTACTTGGTACGATTGTACGTATTGTACGATCTGTAATTTCCAATGAACTCATGAGGTAATTGGTGTTAATCATATTATTCTACTATCATATAAGGATTGTCCAGTTACGTCTTACAAATTGTATTTGTATGAAACTTAAATCCTTTTTAGGTAATACTTGAACACATAATAAATGAAATAGCACATAGTTGTAACAATTTAACACTTTTAGTTATCTATTGGACTGAGTGTGCAATAGGTATATAAATTGACCAAGGGAATGTCTGTACACGTAGGAGCTTCTTAAGAAAAACCGCTTATACATGGTATATAAATTATGGATACGTGTAGGAATTTATGCGATATAAAAGATATTGAAGAACTGTATTGCCTGACGTTACTGATTATGATATGATTACGTGATCATGTTAATTCCTGTACATGTGTAATGTGTATATGGACATAAATATATGTATACAAAACAAGAACTTTAAATTATTAAAAAAAGGCTAAGAGCTTCATCATATTGTCCAATTATGAACTAAACTTTGTTTTGTAGTTCATCGGTTCCTTTATATCTTCAATATATATTATACAATACTTATTGGTTCCAACGCTTAGACTTTAGGTCGAATTTAGGTCAAACCAGTAATGTAAACATTTCGTTTTAGCGTAATTAGTAGCTGTAATATTAACTAAATTGAGTATTATCGATAACGCGGTTTTCGATTAATTATTTCCCTGATAAGAATTATATTGGAGGCCTGAAATAACCTGATAAAAATTAAAATAGTATGATGATAGCCATGACGCTGTGGAAATGTTTCACACGTACATTGATATAAATATACTTGAAATAATTATACTAGGTAATGTAAAGTATGAGTTTAACTGACCTTTGACATAACAGTGATGAGTGTTGCCATTGCTCCGCGAACGTTATCGGAGGCAATTTCTCCCAGATACATGGGTGCGGTTGTGTATGCGATGCCGTAGCCAAGACCCGAGATTACACGGGATGCGTATATTGTGGCCACATTGCTGGCAAACATGACTAAAATCCAACCGATGATGTAAGGCACCGAGGCCAGAAGTAATGTTTTTTTTGTGCCAATTCTATCAGCGAGGTATGCAGCGGGGATTGGACTTGCGGCTGAAATTAAATCATGAAAGTGTTTAATAACTCTTATTTATTAATAATAAATACATAACAGTAGATGAATCTGCTTTCAGAGTTCAGTAACATTCATAATTAAATCGTAGCTATAGCATATTAGTTGCTAATTGCCCAAGCTTAAAAAAAACATTTTGCAATACGCTCAAACAACGACACAACTCAACTAATGTTGGCGTTAATATTGATTGTACATACTGTTGTTCACTTTTCGTCGCTTAGTTTAAAAATAAGAAAACGGTTTTTAGCAAGTTAGAAGCTTACTTGAAGCTAAAGGCGATGTGTAAGCCGTACAAATCAAGCCTGCAGCGGCCATTAATGCAACAAAGTTTGTTGTAAATAAATTATTATATTTCTATATTATATATATATATTATAGAATATTAATTCTATTATTCTCTTAAATATTTATTTACCTAAACGTTAAGGTATTCTAGATATAAGGCAAAATTGATGCATAAAATGTTATCCCAGAGAACTGATTTAAGTAAATCTTCATGAATTATGCTAGTTATCATCTACAGGAAATCACAAAACGTAAAATAAATCTAATCATATTTTTTTTAAGTAACCTTTAATATCGCCACTATATTTTTAAAAACAATTGCTGAGTTGAAAATTCTTTTAACCACCGAATTAATTATGTACCTACTGTCAAATTTGGGTTAAACTTGTTTCAAACTTTTGAAACAACTTTAAGAATGCCAATATAAAGTTTATGTATCTTTTATATATTTTTTTTATTTATTTAAAAAGTACCAACTAATTACAGTAGTATTATTATTATTATTAAAACTTTATAAATCAATGTATTTTTGCAAACTTAAACAGAGCTAATAGAAATGTCAATAAATGGGAATAATTCTATATTTATTTATTTTATTTATTGAGACTTTCTGCAAACATATTGCAAAATGTGGACTTAATGCCACAGGCATTTTCTTGCAGGCAAACCTTTGCGTGTAGCAAAGCTGTGTGTGGCAGGTGTATATTGGTGACGGGATGAGACGGAATGAAAGTATGTAAAAAAAGAAGAAAAAAATCCTACTGATATTTAGGTACTAGGTATACATACATATTAATATCAATATATAATAGCCTAGAAGCGGCCACTAAGTTGACATAATCAACTTAGTGGCCCCTTCTAGGCCTGATTTTGCACTACTCCTTTGTATGTCTGAGCAAGAATCTAACCCATTCTTCTAACATTAAACAGCTTTTTCTCGGTTATAATATTATGATTTTTAAAGTTTTGACGTATTTGTTAAGTTACAGTAAAACAGGTATTAGCTTAAAAACGTTATGAATAAGAATTGTGGTTACCACTTAGTATTTTACGACATGGTAGGTTAACTTGAAACTGAAGTCTTAAAAACGTAAAAATAGTGAACTCAGCTTTAGCTATTACGGCCAGTTAACAATAATATTAATAATTCTTTTTTTTAATCAAGTAACCAGAACTATCACATTGAAATTTGTATATTTAAAATTAGTAAACTTAAGAACTAAACTAAGATGATACACTTAGAATCATAATATATGGGCATGATCGCGCACACAGGGCGCGCCGCTGCTACATCCCATGAGAGAGCGCGCAACATCTTCCCACGTGTGCACAATCAAGCCTCATGTTTAGGTTGCTGTTGGAGCAGGACCACACTCTGTGCACCAGGGACCCACACCTCTTACGCATAGTTGCGTAGTAGCAAGCAACAGTTGCGTTCGCAAACAATCCCGATGCACTACAGAAGCAGTTCAGCCTCCCACCAACACCCTAGATGTATCGTTGTATTAAACACGGAGAGCGTTGTACGAATTTTATGTAAACCTAACCCACAGGCAGCAAGTGTAAATAGTTGTACAATAGGCTCGAAAAAGCGTACTTTTACACTCAGTAAAAGACGTGCAAACGTACGGGCCAGCATGTTTGCTCTAACGGACAACGCCCTCCGCGCTGGTTCAATGTCAAGGTTGTCAGTAAGGTCGGGGGTTAATATGTGAAAAAGATATTTAAATGTATACACTCTTTTTAAAATTGCATTGTAAATTCTGATAGGTGGCATATTTTCCCTTGTTCTACCCCTGGCCTCGAAGACTATGACTACTACCTCAGACGTTTTACATTATATTTCAAACCTTGTGTTTCGGCGTAATTTTTTCAGCTTATCAGTGTGATATTCATCAGCCATCCATCCAGCCAACAATAACCATCTACTAGCAAATAATTAAGTTAGTTTTAATTTTAGTAATATAATAATATATTTACTTTTCTAATACCTACCAGAACATAGTATCATGATGGATGCGATCCATGAGCTTTGATCTGCTGAGGTCTGTATAGGAGAATTTTCATTTAGCAGTATTGGCAGAGTGGGTGATGTCCAGCCTACTGTGGTCCCCGCTGCCGCCGTGATCAAAGTCGCTGGAAAATGACAGAAATTATATAAATGATGATATAAATTAATTATTAAAGCTGCTCCAATTATTTCTAAATCTATAAAAATAACATACGGAGAAGAGTAACCGCATATTTATTTCATTCTTGGATCTTCTCTTGTCGCAACCAGATGACCGGTTCAAGACGAAAATAAAACAAAATACTATCACGTAACTTTAAATGAATCCTTACTTAATTAATTGTTAATGGCTTGGTAGTCTCGACACATAATTAATCAACCATTCATCTAAGTTCAAATCATCAAACTCCATCAAACTGTTATTAAATTGACGACTTAACAATGGAGTAGGTTCTTACTTCGACAGACTTTTGTTAAAACAAGGACAGCTATATACAATTTATCACGATTTAGTTTAAAATTTGTTGACAAATGGTAGTATTACTAATATCGTGTGTGGGTATGTAATACTAGTTATATAAACTACCTTTAAACACTAGATTTCCTAACACAATATACACATAAGACACTGATAAACTGAGAGCGTTTCTTTGTAGTTTTGTGTTCTACACAAAATTAATAATTGCCGTTTTTTATTACTAAATAAAACACGGTTTAATTGTGAACCCAATGAAATAACAGTATCCTATTATCCACCCAGCTTATCATATCGACGTTATTAATCGTTACATCCGTTCGATTTGTCAAAACGAATCGTGAGTGATTCTTAGACGGTGACCATTTTTTGCAGATTAATTATCGTTTCTTTATTACATTTTCAGTTATGTCATTAATCATCATCTACACACTGTGATTTAAGAAAGGTAAAATCTTGTCTTGTTTTTCGGCTATCATAAGTGATTGGAATTAAATAACTGACGGTGTTAAGAAACCAGATTAGCAAAATAAGATTTCAAGAACTTCGTAAGGACACAAGCTCAGTATATTTTAAACTAAGCAATTATTAACATGGATTTGAAATTACATATACATATGTATCAGATATTTTGAGTCTAGATAGGTTCAAAAGGTTATAGCTTGTTTGAAGTACTGGTTGACAGCGGTCGTGCGCAAAGATTTGGTTTATCTTTAGACAGAGAATCGACATCGTAACGTGATAACTACGCCTTTTGCGTGTCAATAGACTTTGAAGTATTTGATAAATATAATTATATGTGTGTATGTATGTAATTGTTATTTATGTTTAGTTATTTATCCATAGAAATTGATACTAAACCACAATATCTATAATATTGTAGTTGAGTATCAATTTCTACACCTCTGAAACTCAAAATAAAGGGTGCGTATTTTTTGGGTGAACATAATGAACACAAATCGATTTTTAAACAAAAAATAGGAATGCTATTTTTATGAGAACCAATATGAAATGAATTTTTAATACACTATGGTTCTAAATCGCGAAGAATTGATATCTATTTTAAAATATTTAGTCACTGTAAACAAAGTTATAATTATTTTACTCGAATATCTAATTGGTAAATAATGTTTATGTACAATAACGTGAGTTATTAAATGTATAGATTCGCATGTTAGTCAAATATATTTTTAAAATTATGCTTACAATATGACTTTTTAATAGATTTATATATCTGTTGTTGTATTAGGATATTTCATCAAAATGTATGTAATACACAGAGAGTTCTAAACGATATATCAAAGCTTTATATAATATACAATGCTCTTTATTTTTAGACGATTTACAAAATATGAAAAGAAAAATGTTCAGAGGTTTAGAAACAGCACAATTTTTTTGTTTTCATAGTTTGCAACATCATGTGTCATCAGTCCTACGGACTGCTGAATTTTTGTAAGGGCGGTACAAAGATTACAAGACAACCAAAGTACCTATTGTTTTAAGGAGTGACACGTACTGCCGGGTCCGTAGCTAGTCGATCATTCGCAAAATAAACACGCGAATAAAATCGTATTTTTAATAAGTAAATTGAATTTAAAAAGCAAGTGAAGCAAGTGATAGTAGGAAATAAGAATGTAAAGTTCGCCGTCTCGTCGTGGCGGGGGCGTCGCTTTGATGTCGCCGACATTGCATCTGCGTTCACCGACTCATGTTTACAATGGTGTTCTAATTCGGCAATAATTTTATTGTATTTATTTTGATCTAATTTGCATTTCTGTATTTTCGTACTAATTTGTTTTAATTTAAACCGACGTATATTGAACCGTGTCATCTGTAATTTCATTTTTTGTGAAAAGCTTAATCACAGATTATTTATGGTGTCGTAGGTATAAGTATCTATGATCTTCACTGATTGCTAAAAAAAGGTTCTGGTGCAGGATAAATTCACTGAAACTTTTTAAAGCTCGCACAAATAAGTAATGACATTACGTTCAAAGATTGTACAAATTATCTGAATAGTTGTTTACTAGGTAGTTATCCTGTAAGTAAATTCTGGAGAACTACCGGAAACTTTTACTGGTAGTAGAGCAGCATGTGTTGAGAGTGTAGAAAACTTATGCATTCAAATTCATTTGATAATTTTAATAATATTCATTAGCAAACTGAAGGTGTTCTTCATCAGTAATATTTCGTCAAATCATACTTTTTGAATGCAGAAAGTCAACGTAATATTCAAGTTCTCATAGTCCCCATCATCAATTGGATTTTGAATGAAGTTGGTTGGTAAGTGATATGGATTAACAAATACCAAAAAATAAAATACAACAGAAATTGAGAATCCATCCTCCATATTTGGAAGATGATTAAGGACAATGATGTCGTCGCGACGTCGTTAACAAAAAGAACAACGTCCAGAAAAGCTATAAATCATGCAACCATAAGTAGTTCATGATTACGGTACATGAACTTGACCACAGACAACTAATATATAATTAGTGTAAGTTTGTTATTGAATTTTTCTTAGGCTAATTGTTCGCTGGTCCACGCAACTGAAGTCCATGCAACTATTAAATAAAGCAATGAATATTTTAGCAAAATAAACAATTTTGACAGAAATGGAATATTGCTTACAGAATTCATAACTGCTTTATTATGTATGAAAGGAAAACATACATAGATACATCGGTTATTGTGCTTCTTTGATCTATTCAGATCTTCATCGAGGCCTTTATTTTGAAAACATGTATGTATATTTGCAGAATATTTATTATTCAAAACAAAGGCTTGTAGATATTAAGATCATGTCTACTCTTGTAAACAATGAAATACAAATCAAATAGTCAAACATGCAGTATCTATTGGATGGTTACAACAAAACTATTGTTTTGTTATCTATTCATAACAGAAGATTGTTATTTACGTTAAAACATACTGTTAATTTTTTTATTGCCCTGATTAGTTACGAAAGGTAACTAGTTGAATAGCAATATTTATTTTTAACAATTCAATAATATCAAAAGTTCTCTCTGTAACGTATATCGTAAAGAGGGAATACGCTTTTTTTTAATAAATGTTTAAAATTCATTTTGTAAAATAACATGTCGAAGAAACGTTATACAATATTCTGTCTACTTTCAGGAAAGGGAACTCTTTTTAACCGACTTCAAAAAAAAGGAGGAGGTTCTCAATTCGACTGTATTTTTTTTTTTTTTTTATACTTAGCAGAATGCGAGGTCTGCTTTGACCTAGGTACATTTTACAGGTGATAGGGATGTTCATTTTCAAAGATTAATAATAATAATATTTCACACATCTCATACACGGCCGTCTGATCCCAAACTAGGCAGAGCGTGTACGATGGTAACCAGACTGCTATCAGCAGTCTATACCTGCTATCAACATACTTGTTTTACTTTTATACGACACACTAGGTCACTACTTCAAAAGATTTTAATTGTTTTCCTCTACTCTAGGTAAACAATTAGGTAGGTAGGTAGTTTCAATATACTCGTATGAGTAAAGAATGTTGTTATTTTCGCCAAGAAAAAAAAACAGAAGATGTGTTTTTTGCGTAGGTACTCTATAAAATATTACAGTAACGAATGACTGATTAATTGACGTATTTCGATAAACCATCGTGCTCATTAAAAAAAAGAAACGAAAAAAATTAACTACCTTTAAACAGCAAGTACCTATGTTTTGAATGAAAATAAGAATCTGTTAATATCAGAGTGAAATACATAAATAAAAAGTTTGTATTTTAGTAATATACTAGAGCTGCTTTCGAGTAAATACTGTAATCCTATTATATCATTTCTTTAAATTGGATGTGTTTTTAAAATAATTGGTGATAGACATTTATAAAATAGATAATTTAAAATATATATATTTTATTATACAACTATTCTGTATTGTATTGAATGCTTATTGTAAACATTTTTTTATTGAATTGATCTTACGCAAGGTCCCAACTGATAGCATAGTTTGTACATTGAACTACATTCGAATTCAGTAAGTACCGCCGATACTTTTTATCTCAATTATGTTTGTTTACAGTCTGCCTCATTAAATAACAAGAAACAAGTCATTGGTGTCTTTTTATAATATAGATGACCAACAAGAACAAACAAACAACCAAGTTTATTGAACCATCAAAGCTACATTTTGATGAGAGCTCTGTCTCCTAAACTAGGTTGATTAACGTGTATCTTAGGATTCAGTGGCTTCCTTAATTACAGGTGAAATGGTTACAGCAGGGTTTACAATTTAAGGGGTGCTGGGCTAGAAAACCTCCTCGTGGTGCACCCTGGAAACGCTGGCGATGGTACTGTTTCCTCCTTGTCCTCTTGGAGGAGAGGATTATCGCCAGCGGCCAATATTCTAGCAGAAGAGGCAGCCGTTCATCGGCTCTCGGGCAAGGCCTGGTCCAGCAGGGTGGGCGTGTCTGCCGGTTGCCCTGCTGGCTCTTCGCTCTTCGGAGCATGGAGGAGGAAACCTCGGTAAAAAACCTGATGGCGGGGCCCTGTAGGGGCCACAGTTTCTCCGCTGATAGCGGTGGAGAAAGGAGGACGGGCTCGGCGTGTACTCACACTACCACCGAGCAGGCAGGGGGACGTAGTCTCCCTGTCAACCGTTGGCATATCGCAATCCCGAGAAGAGCGCTGTGGTTAAGTCTCGCGGCTCTGATCGGGGGCGAGGGTCTTGGCTTAACCGCCGGACCGCGAGGAAGATAACCTCTCTAAAAAATTCCCCGAATC